GCGGGACGCCCTCTCCCGCCGCCCGGGCTGAGCCGGCTTCCCGCAGGGCTACCTGGAGGAGCTGGTGCGTCTGCGCGAATCGCAGCTCAAGGACCTGGAGGCGGAGAACCGGCGGCTGCAGCTGCAGCTCGAAGAAGCAGCCGCGCAGAACCAGCGCGAGAAGCGGGAGCTGGAAGGCGTGATCCTGGAGCTACAGGAGCAGCTGTGAGCACCGCCAACTACCCTGGTCCCCGCCCAGCACATCCCCCCAGGGGGCCCCTCCACTGCCCCCACATTGACTCCAACGTCACCTTTCCTGACCCAACTCAACTGCCATCAAACCACTGATCCTCGCATCCACCCAGATTCTTTCCAATAATACGCTACATTATCTTCAATATAAAATGCAGTGCCAACCTCCCAACCCTGCGCACAGAAACACTTGCCCTTCAATGACCCAACTCCGACTTCAGCTGGAATGACCATCTAGCATGAACATCGGCCCTCCAGTTCCCCTCCCTCCCCCAAACAGTCTCCAGGTACCTCCAGTGTTACCAGCGCGATTACATATCCGCTCAACAGCCCCATTCTGCAACATGGACCACTAACCTTAATTGCTCGAGGGGACCCCCATATCTCACTCCTTATGGTGCTCACTAACGCCTCCCCCCCAACCTCTTCATCACCCTGACATTCCAGCACGTTGTCCTGTCCCCTTTACGCTTCAGGATTCCCACACTATTCTTATCTATCAGCTCCATTACCAATTCACACAACACCCCACTGTTCGCTTTAATCCTCAATATGAGCACACCCATCACTATCACCCCTGACACCCCCACCCCTCCACTGACTCCCAGGATCTGCCCCCACTGATCCTCAACATTCTATCCCCATTTTTGTTACCCAGGTTTTATTCCTAACCCCCTCCCTACCCTTTGCTGAGCCTCCCTTCCCCACTTCCACTCCCTCTCCCAGCCAGGCCTGACCCCCCCTCCCCATCCCAGGACAGGCCTGATCCCCGGTGACCACGCTTCCCTGGCCCAGAGTTCCAAGGAGCTTACCACACCCCTGGTCAACCAATGGCCATCACTGGGAACACTCAACGGAGCTGAGGGGGCCAATAACCCCAAGCTCTACCGGAGGCGGTAAGCCCCTGCCAGGCTCGGCTTAGGCCTGTGCTGGTCCCCCTGGGGGAGTGGGGTGTGGGGGCGCGGGCTGTAGGCCTCTGCCTGCACACCAGCTCTCTGCTCTGCCAGACACAGTTTCATGAGCCCGGAGCCGCTGTCAGCTGAAGCCAGTCTGAGCTCGGACTCCCAGCGCCTGGGAGAGGGCAAACGGGATGAGGAGCCTTGGGGCCCCATCGGTGAGCTCCCCCAACCCAGCACCCCTCCAAGTAGGGCTGAGGCAAGGTCTGGGGGATGTAATCAGGCCCAGATTCCCTTACCCCTCTGGAAGTTTAGTACAGCAATTAGAGCTTGGGGTGAGCAGACCAAGGTGCAAATCCCTACGTATATGCTGGCTAACTTCACCTTGCTGCCCCCATCTGTACAATGTTGATTAAAACATAGGGAGATCTGTACTATGTCAACATAGTTGTGTCAACGGCCATTTGGTATGACATCGTCAAAGGACTCAGATTCCCACGGCTTCTTCAGTCTGTATTTGTTCATTTTGCCAACGGTCTACGAACCACTCTTCCTGACCACTGTTTCCCCTTTTTCTTTGGCTACCAGGAAGCTCAGAGCCAAATTAGTGGCTCCGCTGAAGCGAATGTCCAGGACTTCAACGCATGCATTTTGTGTTGACCTCCCCTTGGCCTTCACCCTGGTTTTCCCACCCTCGTTTCCCAGTGCCTGGATTTCCTTTTTTTAAAACCATTGTTTGATGATCCTAGATCTCCTGACACAAGGCAGATTACGGTCATGGAACCCCATCAGTTTGTGACTGTGTGTCTGTCTCCCCACCAGACTGTGAGCTCCTTGAGGGCAGGGACCGTGTCTTGTCCACTCTGTATTCCTGTTCTTGGAACGGAGCACGTGCTCCTGTGTATTTAATAAATGGACAAAGAGAGGCTAAACCTCAAGGGGAGACAGAGACATAAGCTGGCGATTACAATAGTGTCCCCAGCACCGCAGCTGGCCAGGGCCGGGGCTCACTGAGGGTGAATGGAAGTGGCACATGCTCCCGAGATCAGGGCAACCTCCTGGTGTGGGGGGGGGGGTAACGATGGCTGACCCCTCACTGCCTGCTCCATCACCACCCCACACAGATGGACTGGTTGGCCCAGTCTCACCGCCCTCTCTCCCCAGGAAAGGACCCCACGCCCTCCATGCTGGGCCTCTGCGGCTCTCTGGCCTCCATCCCCAGCTGCAAGTCCCTGGCGAGCTTCAAATCCAACGAGTGCCTGGTGAGCGACAGTCCTGAGGGCAGCCCGGCACTGAGCCCCAGCTGAGGACCCATGCGGGCAGTGCCAGCCCCACCTGCCAGGGGCATGGACACCTGCCACCTTTCCTCAGAGTCCCCAACCCCAGCCACCCTGCCAGAGATTGCTGACCATCCTGCCAGGTTATTTGGGAAAGCCCTTGGCCTCTTGCCCAAGAAGGCAGTCACTGAAAAGGGAAGCTGATGGGGACGGAGGCAGGGCCACCGAGGCCACAGGAGCCCGCGGGAAGCTTGACCCATTCTCCCGATGACCCTGACTCCTGGCTGGCTCCTCACTGGACTGTCCTCCACTCATGCCCCGCCCTCCTCAAGAGCTGGCAGCCCCGGCAGCCCCACCTCCCACGGCCCTCCCGTATGTCCCTGCGTGTTCCCCAGCCCCTCCTTCCCGGCCCCCATGGTGAGGGGCTTCCAGGGCATCAGGTAAATAAAAAGCAGAGGACCGAGGACAGAGTTGTCTGTGGGGGCTGGGACAGGGGACCTGTGCTGAGGCAAGATGGGGGAGCCAGAGCCGGCCCATGAGCATGGGAAGCCTGCCCGCAGCAGCGGCCCATCTTGCTCAGGGAGCAGGTGGCCTCTGCATGGTGTCTGCCCAGAGCAGGAACAAGATGCGTAACTGACCCTTCAACCTCATGCTCTTCAATAATCTGCCTAACCCAAGCAGAGGAAACGCTGCACATCTGGGGGGCAGCTGGAAGAGGCAAGCCCCGGGCAGGGCCGTTTGCCTTCAGCCTTCCTGGGCAATTCAGCTTTGACTCAGACGTGGGCACTTCCGCAGGCCCAAGCCAGCGGTGAAGCCACCCGAAGCCATCGTCAGTGGGCACCAGTGGGAGCTCCCCCACCACCAGGAGGTTGCGTCAGCCCCTCCCCGCTGGGTGCTCACCCCAAGCTGGCTCTGTTGGCCAGGGAGGTGGCGCTCTCCACGGGTGCCAGCTGGGCAGGCAAGGCCGACAGCCAGGCCCCTCCCAGCCTCCCCCGTGCAGCGACAGGCCCACTTTCCACCCGCCCTGGGCCCACAGTCACAGGCGCGGAGAGAGTTCATCATCTTTAGACTCAAGGAACAAACAGGGTGGGTACAGGCTACAACCAGCCCAGGGTGTTTGGCTCCTGGGTGCAGGCCCGCTACAGCAAACACGCAGGGAAGCGCTGGGACAGAGGAGCAGTTAGCAAATTTGGTCTTGAAATTTGGGGGGCGGGGGGGATAGGAAAGTGATGATCTGTGGGGCTCAGCAGGAAAAAAGCTGTCTGAGGAGAGCCTGGGCGCGCCTGGAGGGGCAGCCCGCACCCTTGGGACCCCTCCCCTCAGTGCTGAGGAAAAGGCACTTGGCTCAGTCTCCTGCTCTACCCTGCCTGTGAAGAGATGGGGTCCTCATCCTAGGCCCCACTCAAGGGCCCAGAGGCCGTTCCCGGTTGAGCCTCTGGAAGAAGCTCTTGCTGAACTCATAGGTGCTGATCATGATGGCACAGGAGGGGGCGGCCTTGATGAGCCTGGGGAGGAAGCCTGCAGTGGGAGAGGGAGGGGAGGTCAGAGGCCAGAACCAGGGGCCCCAGCCCCCACAGCCCCACCAGAGTGTGGACAAACACATCCACACAGACACTCACCTGCAAAGAGCCCCCTGGTGCCCGACTCAGCCAGGATCTTCCTCAGCAGCAGCCAGGTGGAGGCAGCGCGCAGGGGCGTCACTGTACATGGAAGGCCCCGTGCGGTGAGACCCCAGAGGGACCCCGGTGTGCCCTCCCCCATACCAGCTGGCCCCTGACCTCGCTCAGCCTCCACAGCTCCCAGAGCAACCTGGCGCTGAGTCTTCACCACATCGAAAGGCAGAGTCAGGATGGCTGCCACCTGATGGGGTGGGGACAGGAGAGGGTCATCTGCATTTCCAGGGCCCCTTCCTTGTCTTGGTGGTCTGCCAGCCGCCGCCAGGCTGGCCTAGGGAGGACGAGCTGGCTCCACGAAGAGCAGCTGATGCACCTGTGTGCAGGACTATCTCTGGCAAACCTCAGGCACAAGGACACAGGATCGGCTGGCCTTACCCCCAACCCAGTCAACTCACCGTGCCCGAGATGCCACCAGCCACAAAGCTGATGCCCACCGATGTCTGGTCCTTCGGCCTATGCCTGCCAAGCCAGCTCTTCATCAGCTCGTAGTTGAACCAGTACAGGGCTTAGGGACATATGGGTACAAGCGTTGGACACGAGGCACCTCCCACTTCCACTGACCCACATCACCCAAAGGTTCCCTTGCCCACCCCCTGCACCCTGGTGCCTACCTGAGAAGGGCACGTCCCGAAGGGCAGTGGGGCCCCAACCCAGCCAGAGCGAGCGCCAGCCGCCCTGAGCCACCGCAGCCCGGACACAGGTGCCCAGCTCCCGGTACGACACGTGCTGAGCCTGCAGTTTGGTCCGCACCAGCTCCAGGGGGCTGACCACAGTCACGGTGCCCACTGAGGGGACAATGCGGGGCGGGGGGACTCAGGTTCCCATGGAAGTCCACCCCAAGGTCTGAGGACTCAGGACGCCCCACCCCCAGGCTGGCAGAAGGGGGAGCTGGGAGTCAGGACTGGACTTGGGTACTTGAGAGTGGAGCGGGTGGTGGTAAGGGGCCGAGGAAGGTCATGGGCCCAGGGCTGTGCTCACAGCGAGCCACGGCACCAGCCACCATCGGTGTGTAGAGGTCAGAGGTCAGGGCTCGACTGCAGAGGAAGGCCTTGAGCTGGTCGTAGGCGGTGAAATAGATGGCTGTGGCAGGCACAGTCATCACCCTGGGGGTGTGAGCAGATATTGGGAGGTGCTCCCGAAGTTCCCTGCCTGCCCTGCCCCAGACAGCCAGTGGCCAGGGGCGCGGTGGAGGGCCCATGCGAGCAGGGTACTCACAGGGTGGCTGGGAGGCCGCTCCACAGGGTCCTGGTGCCCTCATGTCTCACGATCTTCACAAAGGCGTCCTGGCCAGGCAGTCACCGTCCCGAGGGAGGCAGGAGGAAGGTGAGCAAGGCCAGCGACGGGGCTGGCCTGATTGGGCTCTAGGCTGAAAGCCTTGGCTGTGCCATGGCCCTGGGCCCGCGGGCACAGTGGCCCTCTGGCCTCCACGGACACAACCCCCCAGCCCAGGCCGGGGCGCACGGCCTCCAGAACCCCAGAGGCTACTTTCCCAAACCAAGCTGGCCACCCACAGGCTCTGCACTACCTGTTCTCTCCCAGCCCTGCTGCCTGACGGCCCAGGAGAGCTACAGGCGCAGCTGGGGCACCGCTGTCCTCACCATGGTGCCAGTGAAGCGAGTGGGGTCCTGAAACCAGGTGGCACAGCGGGCACCATTTGGGCACAGGTACAGGGGCTCCAGGACACCATTGCAGTAGAGAAGGCACTTCCCTGTGGGTTGGAGAGAAGGCCGCACTGGGGAAGAAGAGGGACCATTGGGGTGACAGGGGCCTGGGACCCTGGGGCTGGCGGGCGCCCAGCCCTGCAGTCTCCGGGTGGACCTTCCCGGGCAGGACACAGGGCTGGCTGGCTAGTCCACACTGTCGGGCCCACAGTGGCCACGGAGCAGGGATACTCCGCCCGGGGCCCCGGCTGGCTCCCCGTGGCTCCGGGCACTCACATTTGGTGTACGAGAGGCTCCAGAGTCTGGAAGGTGGCGTCAGCCCTGGAATACAAGGAACCCCCAGTGAGGAGAGCCCCACCAGCCCCAGGGACTGCGACTGTGAGACCCTTGTTCCGCCCAGGTACCACCCCCTATTGGTCCCAGGGTGGGGTACTCACCACTGGAGATCGAGGGGCGCTGAGACTGCAAGCGGACCTTCACCACATCCAGGGGTGTCACTGGGGGGAGGGCGGGTCTGAGGATCTGCCCAGGACTGACACCCTCCTCCGCCCAAGTCGCAGCCAGCCCACAGCTGCCCACATCTCCAGGTGCCCTCTCCCCCAGCCTTCCCAGCTCTTACTGAAGAGGGTGGTGACCACAGCCCCCGCGCCTGAGGCCACCATCTGCTGGAAGGGGCTGATGGCCCCGGAGTCCCGGTCAGCCATCTTGGAGTTTCAATCCTGAGAAACAAATTTCAGTCACTGGGAGCACAGCCCCCTCCCCCCAGTCATTGTCAGGGTCTCCCTGGTGGCCTGGGGTTGAGTCTCTGCACAGGGCCTCGGCCTGCCCACTGCTGCCCTCAGCAGAGTGTTTCAGCATAGGTCTCTGGTGAATCCTCTCCCCCCTCCCCCCACCGACACCCCAGTTCCTCTACGCAAAAACACTATCAGTGCCAAGGGCAGAAATGAGGCAGGGGCATTTGGGGGCTTTACCCGGACCCCTACTCCACCCACTGAGTGTGAATTCAAGCACTCCTCGCAATCACCTTCTAAAAAAGTAACTGTCAGCCCCACTTAGCGCGTGGGGAAACTGAGGCTGGGGCAGGGCGGTGACCCGCCCAAGGTCACCCGGAGCCGCCAGGAAGGGGGACAGCGAGCCACTGCGAAAGGGCAACGGGCGCCCTAACGGCCCTGCAGAGCCCTGGGCGGCACCTCCGCGGCGCAGGCACCGGGACTGGCCCGCAGCCGAAGATCACCTGAGCCGCAACAGCTCCAGCTCCCGGCCTCGAGGAGCGAACCCCAAGTCACCGGCCGTGGACGTGGGGCCGGGCTGCGAGTGAGACGTGTAAACAAACCTGCCAGAAGCGAAGGGGTCGGCCCGCCTTCTCGGGACCGCAGGCGGGGGAGGCTGGGGGCGCGGACACCCCCTCATCCCCACTCCCGGGGCCGGAAGTGCCAGCCCCGGCCGGGGCCAGTAGGCAGACCTTGCCGCCCACCCCCAAACCAGAGGCCGGGAGCCGGGCTGGGAGCCGCGAAGAGCGAGGAAGAGGCGGCAGGCGCTCTCCGGCCGCAGGCGACAAGCGCCGGGGCGCCCCAGAGGCCGGCTAGGTCAGCCCGAGGCCCGGGACTGCCGGGCCCCAGCCCCGGGCGGGCTCGGGCCCCCCGGCCCCCCTACCCCGAGGCCCCACTCCGACCTCCACTCCTAGCGGGACCTCAAGCCCGGCTTCGCCCCGCCCACCTGGCTCTAAGCTGGTGCTCGCGCGGCGGGGCGCCTGGGGCCGGGCGGGCCCATGGCGGCTCCGCGGCCGGTGCTGGGAACGCGCGCGCTCGCCGCACACGGAGGCCGACGCCGACGCCGACGCCGAAAGCCGCGCAGCCGGCCCCGCCCCGGGACCGCGCCATGAGGCCCCGCCCCCGAGGGCCAACTGGCCGCGAGCCCGAAGTGCCAGCGGCCCCGCCCACTCAGCCCTCCCGGGGACCCGCGGAGGCCGGGTCCCTGCGCTGCCCGGGTCCCTGCGCTGCCCGCGCCCAGTCGGCCGGCGCGCCGAGGTCGCAGCAGTCCGCGTCGCGTCTAGCCTGGAGGCAGCCACACAGCCGGAGGGTGTTCTCGCCAACCCCCACCGGCAGGGCCGAGCGCGGCGCCCGCAGTCCAGGACGCCCTCCGACTCCCCAGACGGGCGTGGGGTAACCCACTCCCCCCGCTTCTGCGCCCTCGTCCACGCGGCGGCGGGAGTTAAATCAGCCCTGCAAAGCCGCGGGGCGACCCAGTGGCAAACATCCACCCGGCGGACGCCTGGGAGGTTACGACTTCGCCGTTTCAAACAGCAAGGAGCTGCGTTCCCATTTTACAACCCAGGGGTGCTGCTCCAGCGTCACTGGACCATCCACGGGGCGCCGTGGGTGCGGGCAGCGGGGGCAGCGGGCTTATAGCCGGGTCGGGCACGCCGGGCCGGGGTAAGGTTGGCCCCCAGCCCGAACGCCGGGGTCTACCCGGCTCACCAGGGCCCCGACCCGCCTCCGTGCGACCCCCGAGAGTGACAGCAGCGCCCAGCGCAGTGGGAGGACGGAGCGGGAGGGCAGGGGCCGACGTTCGTGTGCGGGGTGCTCGCGGCTCGTCATTTCTGCCCCCCTACTTTCAGAAGTGGGTTGTTTGTGAACCCACTTTACAGATGGTGAAACTGAGGCTCCCAGTCTAAGAGCTCGTACCTAGACTACAGCACCCCACCACGCGCCACCCATCAGGCTGCTTGTCGGGGTGACAGGCGAGCGCGCCGTCGTCTCCGAACCCGCTTTTTAGGGAGACGCCTTTCTCTCCCGCGCCAGCGCCGCGCCCGACACCCCACCGCGCTTCGCCTTTAAGACGTGAGCGGTGGTGATTATTTGTCCTAACACAGAAAAAACGAAATCGGGGTGCGAGCCTGCGCCTTTAAGTAGAGTAGGCCGGGACTTTGGCGTCACCGTTGCCCCGCCCAAGACGCCCGGAGTGGTCGCGTCCCGGGCTAGAGCCGCCCCGCCCGCGGGCGCACGCCGGATTAGCACGTGGATTCCAAAGGGCCAACCGTCAGCTTTCCCTAAGAAAATATTTTTGCGGCTCCCCACGGCCGAATTAGGGGGCGGGGAAAGCGCAACCAGAGACTCGAGTAGTGGCCCCGGGTCGAAAGGCCCCAAGAGAGACGCTCCTCCCAGGACTAAGCTGAGATCCGAAAAGACAAAATTATTTTCTAGACGGCCGGCTGAGGCCTTGTCAAGACCCTTCACAACTTCAAAGTCATGCCTACCGGGGCCAGCCAACGGCCGCGAGTGCTGTCCCCAGTGCATAGAGGGGAAACTGAGGTCCTTTCCCAGGGCGGAGGAGAGCCCAGCCTCTTCCACACACTCCCGGCTTACACCTGAGGAAACCTGTGACCTCCAGGCCAAATCGCACCACGGTCGCGTCCACTGACGAGCCGTACTTCAAAGCCCCCTGCCTGAGTCCAGGGGAGCTCCCACCCCACCCCTCTGCTCCCAGCGGGGAACCCCTAGCCCGCGCACACCCACGATCCCAGAGAGCTACGAGAACTTCGGCCTGTAGGGGCAGCACCAGTTCCCACTTCAGGGGCAGCATCAGTTCCCGCTTCAAGAGCACAGCGCCAGGGAGCATCTAGCTCCAGTCTCCTGCAAAAGCGCTGGGGGCTCTCACCTTAGTGGATTCCTCATTTATAAAAATAGCAGCTGCTGACAATACTGCTGTCTCACATTATTTAATTATGTGAGGATCTGTCTGGCATGTGGCATGAATACCCTGTTTATTACGGTCATTATTATTATTATTATCATCCCCCCATCCCCAAACCTCTGGCACAGAAGTTCAGGGAAGGGCCTTTGTGGGACCAGTTTCTGGACCTACCTCTCCTCCAAACGCAGGCACAAATAATAACTCCTTACACCCCCTACTTCCCAGAGCCAAGACCCCCACTAAGTAGCACAGCCAGAAATCAAACCTGATGATCTCTGAGCCTCAGTTTTCCCCAACAGTAGAATAAGAGGTTTGCATTCCTCCCCACCCCCACCTTGCAATAGGAGGACTTTGGGTTTGTCATTACACCTCACTTTCCTTGTCAGAAAATAGGCTGCTGTCATCTATCCTGCTGATGCATAGCATAGTTTTGACGCTGATGTCACATCTATGAGAACCATGTGGAGGGAGAACAAACCCTCTGGGGTTCCAGAGGGTCCTGGAGCCTAGTAAAGAAGGTGCATTTCTGCACCTATCAGTACTTGAGGTGTAGAAAACCAAGCCCAGTGAGATGGCAGCAGTCTGGAGAAGTCACCCACCATCCACAGGTGGGTCAAGGACCATCAGGGCAGCTTCAGGGTGCAGCAGCTCCCTGGGGCCCCAGGAAACCCTGGAACCCTGGGGGGCTACAGTACAGAGAAGCAAGCCCGGAGGACTAAGGGGGATGCGGCCACTGTCCCAGCTGACTCACCTCTGGTTCGCACTAACAGCAGATGCAGTGGTCTTTCTGGAGGCAGCATGTGGCTCCGCGTGGCCATCTTCGCGTGGCCATCACCACCTTTCCCATCCTTTGAAAAAACAAACTCCTTTAACTGTACGAGTAGAGAAAATAGCAAACCAACCCAGTGATGTGCAAGGGCGGACAGATAGGTGGGGGTGGCTACCGAAACAGAAGGTAAACTGAGGCTGAACTCGTCCAGGACATGCCCAGAAGCAGGGCAGTGTCTCCTGCAGCTCGAGCCCCCAAGGCCCGTGGGGTTCAGGTCCTCACCAAGGAGTGCAGGAGCTGGAACCAGCTCTTAGAGCCCCTGAGGGAGGCGGCGGCTGGCCACTGAGCCTGGGAAGAAATGTCCAGGCCCAGAGACCACAGCCAAGTCCTATCTTTGAAGGAACTATCGGGGCAGGAGGAGATTTGTGGGGGCTGGGGGTGAGAGGCAGATGTGGGTGGGGAGGTACAGCGCTGGTGAAAACTGAGTGAGGCCAGACTGGAGCTACTGCGTTATGGACATTCAGTTTCTTGAGCATGATGACCATGCTGTGATTTTGCGGAATGACGCATTATGAGGCCTGCTACTTAGTCTCAAAAGGTCTAGAAAGAGAAGCAAGCTGAAGTAGCTGCCTGAACAACTGGTGAGTCCCAGGATGCGTGCTCGTTGCACCATTCTTGAGATTTTTACTTTGTTAAAGTTGACAGAATTAGAAGTTGGTGGGGAAAGTGATTTTCCCTTTTGAAATACACGTGTGTTGTTAATAGAACCAGAAAAAGCCACAAAATTTTTATTTCAAAAGTTAAAAACAAGAAAAGCGAGGATCAGCCCTGGCTAGGGAAAGACCTTCCAGTCTCCTCCTTCCCCCTCGGGCTGACGCGATGGGTGGGGTGGATGGGAGAGTCTCGGGATACCCGCTGTTCCCGGGGGGGGGAGACTCTGGGCGTGGTCGGGGAGCGCAGGGGTCCTGGCTAAGACCTTCCAGAATCGCCGCCCTCCTACCCCAGCCAGAGCTTCCCGGTTCTTGCTCCAGTTCAACTGGGGGACTGCGCCTTAGTCTACCTCGCGGAAGGCCGTTTAGGGCAAACCCATCAGAATTCCAGAAGCCAAACCCGCGCGCGCCAGGACCCCTCCCAGGCTCCTTCCTCCGGCGCGCTCGCTCCAGGGCGGACAGACGCGCCGAAGCAGCCTTCGTTTGTAGCCTCGTTTATAACAGTAGAAAGCGATCGAAAGGGAGCCGCGTGACAGAACTTGCACGTGGGGGTGTAGATCTCCACATAGCGAAGTGAAACAACCTCCAAGACAGACAAATTTGAAAGTGCCGCACGGGAGACCGCGCCAGGCCGTCGTCCTCCCCGGCGCGCTGCCGCCCCCTAGGGGGCGCGCTCGGAATTACGAGGCTGGCGTGGTGCTCACCGGATCCGACCCTGCGCTTGATAGCCCGCGAGCCGGGTCTCCGACTGTCCCTTACAGTGTAGGGCAGCTCGACACAGCAAGGAATGATTGTTCCCCGCCCCGCTCAGCTTTCTCCTGTCTTGTTAGACGACCACATGCATGAGAAACCTCCTCATAATTGCTTGACCTGGAAGCTAGCTGCCGCTTATTCACCTGTTTTGAGTGGTTATAACACACATTGAATTGTCCAGGAATCAAACTACCTGTTCAGTCCTAGGGGAGACGGACTTCACTGGAACTTTCCTACAGGGTCATTTCAGAAAACAGCATCCCAGTGGCCTCGCGGCAACTGAGCCGACAGCCCGCTAGGACGCACCAGCAGCTCTCTGTGGCCAGTGGCCGCCAGCAGGAGATGGGAGTAGGCTGAGCTTCCACGCACAGAAGTCGTTATCATAAGTGACGTCCCTTTTATTTTCCCTTTATACTATGGTCTGACGTTTAACAGATTTATAGAAAACATGGTGTATATATATATTTTTGACTTTTTTGGTATTTTTTAAAAAATATTTATTTATTTGTTCATACAGAACTGGGATACAGGCCAGAGGTTCAGGGGCAGTGAGAGTCTTCACCAGAGACAGAGTGGGGAGCAGAACAGGCAGATCGACAAAGTACACTGCTGAGGGGAGCAATGGGCAGGTCAGGAGAGGTCTGCCACGCCATGTGGTCACCTCCAGGGCAGGCGGGAATTGAACTCATGTGGG